TTAAAGGAGAACTATGGGGTCAGTGTTTTTCCCCACAGTTCTCCTTAGGGTAACGGGAGGACACAAACTAGCGTCCTCCCGTCACCCTAAGCTCACTATACCGCGAGCTACAGCTCGCGGTATACTGAGACGCCGCAGCCGGAGCGGATCCCGACGTAGATGGCGTGAGTGACAGCTGGCTCTGCCTATCTAGAGGCAGAGCCAGCTGTACCCGCCCCCTCCCCCGTCCGTTCCGCCAGTCAGCGCTGGCAGATCGGAGCGGGGAGAGGGGAATCCAGCCCCTCCCCCTGTCATGGCAGAGAGCCGTGACAGGATCGAGAGGCGAGCGAACCCGGTATGTGTTCGCTCACCTCCCGATCTACTGAGCCGACCTGTGACAGTCTCATTGTCACAGGTCGGCTAGAACTATGAGGTGAGTGAAAAGCACTCACCTCATAGTTCTCCTTTAAACAACTTAACCACCTTATAAATCTCTGTTTCATTCAGACAAGCATGTTAAAAATACATACAAACTTATTAATAAAGGAAGTGCAATGGCCAATTATGATGTAAATTGTCCAGTAACCCATTGCATCCAATAGTTTTCCAGTTTACTGCAGAAAGGTCAGTGAAATGCAGCGTAAGATCAGTTCTGATTGGAAGCTGTGTTGAAGCAGTGCTTGATTTTATTTCTTTTAAAAATAACATTAATTTAACTGTGTGGCGATGCATGGCGTTGTGATATGCTGTGTTGCGACTAAATGTACGCCTGTATCATTTTATCACAACAGAGACACAGCACAGTGCACAAACAATTTTTAACACAAGTCACTTTATTAAAGTTTTGCATTACTCCATTTATTTACCGTTTCCCCAAAAGGTGCAATTAAAAATGTACAAATATTTGTTATTCATTAACTCAATACCGTTTTATCTTTTAGATTTAGTCACAAAAGTATTTTTGGTGTGCACTGATACCGATTTTAGTGTGCCTTTATAAAGTGAATTGTGTATTTTTATCGGTTTCATATTGATTTGCAGCGAAAGGGTTTAAGGAAACTTACACTAACAATTATATACTGTTTCTGTTATTGCTGACCTCCTGCTAGTTTTAATATTTTTTGAATATTTTAAGTCAATGACCTAAAACAAGTAAGCATCCAGGGAACTTGGAGTAAAAGTAACTTTAAGGGAAGAGAAGAAGAGAATAATGTTGCTAGGAGGCATAAAAGCAGAAGCACATAGAGGTGCCTGCACAAACTGTATCTGAAGCAACTTTAATTGCTATTTTTGTGTAATCATTTTAGACAAGTATTATCAACATCTTCCCTATCAAGTTAACATATACAGTATGTATGTCCCAAAATTTGTATAATGAATACACAGCAGCACTAATGTGTCTTGTATATCATGCTGGAGTCCAGCTTTGAGGCTGGCATACTCTTTTCATGCTTCTTTGGTCTGGTAAATATCAGATTGTGTTTTCTACTGCTACCTGACCAGCCAGCACAATTACATCAGGCTGTATCCAAGCAGCTCAAATGCAGGAGCTTAATACATATATAATGCTGTCTTGTGCTTGGTAACAGAACTGTACTGGTAATAGCAAATATTGAAAACATAATTATGGCTTCAGTAGCAAAGTGACACCATGGTTATACAGGCCCATCAGGCTTTAAAATGGGCTGTTCATCAGACTGTTAAAGTGGACCTTTACCCCGTTTGACTAAAAATCATCTCAGCACCCAGCTCGGCATCCTGATATGAAATCAGCTTACATTTATTAGCTAAACAAACATTTTTATTTTACTTACAGTTACCTTTTCACACTCCTGGTCCCCTTTGACACAAATGATGTAATTGTGCCCATGCTTTGCATTCTGGGAAGATTACTTATGCAGAGCATTGCTGGGAAATCTCATCATGAGATCTCCGGGGAAGATATTTTCCTCCCCTGAGATAATGTGCATGGTCACATGTCCTGATCACATGTGCCAGAGTTCCCGGAAGTAAAAGGGAGACCTAGTAGCCTGCCCTTAGTTAAATGATCACTGTCAGAAGACTGGGGAAGAAAAGAAAAATAAGGTATGCAAAGAATAAAAAGCCGGATATTATCTAGAAGTATGTATTTATAAATTGCCATTACTTAACATTTCTAAAGGTGTTTTGTTTATTTTGTTTGAAGATATGGATAAAGTTCCTCTTTAAGGTGTTTTTCCAACATTGATCCACAACAACCCTTTTTACTGCATGAAAACATAAGAAAATAGGTAATATGTAACCAAAACAAGCTGCAAAGAGATTAATCACACTTTCTGTTACCTTTCCTTTTCTAAATAAAGCCTTGATATTTTCAGGTTGTTGCTCCAAGACCATATTACAAGACTTTAAGGCAGCCTCAAAGTGATCAAGTTTAAGCTGAGAAGCAGCCAGGTTGTTCAGACACTTCATCTTGACATCTAGTAATTCAGCTTCCTCTTCAGATGTAAAGTCCACTAGTAATCAGAGAGAAAGGGACACTTTCAGGCAGGAATATGGGATTAATGGTAAATTACATATTTACAAAATGATTCATGGTATGAGCAATCATAATGTAGATCTATTTGGATAATACATGACATGGCAGTTAATCAAATTACAGAAAACAATTATTCTGACAGCACACGGTGTTAACATTTACAGCTTCTTTAATCAAACAAGCTCATTTAAAGTGGTAATACCTAGAAGAACAGGAACTGCCAAAAGAGAAATAAAAAGTACTATTTTTCCGTGATTATTTTAGACAAGGATTAGCAACATCTTCCCTATTAAGTTAACATATACAGTATATACATACACAGTATATTTATAGCCAAAAAAATTGACTTTGAATTGAGAGAGGAACTATAAAAACCCCCATCAGGTTTTATCACAGTCTGTGCCAGTGCATATTTATCTTTTCTATTTGTCTAGGTGACTCTAAAATTCTAGAGTCATCACAGGTACAGGAGATAAGGGGAAATCTTCCAAGACAAGTCTTTAAGGGGGAATTTGCCTTTTCTCTTACTTTCTGCTGTGCTTTTGGCACACAGAAAGGAGAAAATCCCTTACAGGGTTTCTAACTATTACCTACTCTATCCAAAAGATAACAGTGTAGAGTTAGACTTACCAGTAACTCTATTTTTTTAAGAGATGAGCACCTCCTCCAACAGGAAAACAATTGGAGTATCACAAACACTTTAAAAGGAAGTTCTTCTTCAGAACTGGTCAGTAGTAAATGAGGATCGAGGAATGTAATATGAAGCAAAACATATACAAACAGGAAAAGAACATAACACAAGGGTGGGGATCCTACTGTCCTGAAGGACTCCTGGAAACAGAGTTACCAGTAAATCTAACTCTGGATTTTCCAAATCATCTTCCTGGACAGTACATAAGGGGATAAGCAAGAATTTAGTAGATTAGGGAGGGACAAAAGCCCAAGAACTCTCCTCACAAAGGACTGACCATGAAAACTACAGGTGACCCCAGGTATATGAACCTCTCAGCAGAGTGATATAAAACAAATAGAAAGCCGTGATAACAGCCTATACAATTATAAATAATATACACTGAGTGCCCTCGTGACTGTGAGTCCGCCTCCCGGCGGATAAGCTTATCACGGCACTCTTTCGGACTTGACTCCTCCCCCCTGTCAACTTTAAAAGTTATTCCTTTTACATAGTATTTGAGGTTGAATAAAGACATTAGTCCATCAAGTCCAACCTATTAGGATCTCATTCTAGGAGTACCTGTACCCACCCACGGCTGACACCGCTCTAAGGCTTGACAAAGAGGGTTACCCTCGAAACGCGTAGCCGCTATTTCAACCCACAGGGGTGAAGTCTCATCCCATAGTACATCTCCCCTGGACGCACGAGCACCGACGGACACAGTGTGTTTGACCCTCCAGTGTTCGCGCTGCACACCGCACCGATATACACTCCTCTTCAGTGCGGGTTTTTACTGCCGGGCAAGGTTCTCTTTTTCTGCTCCAGCTGCCGCGGCTCGGCCTGGCCAGCCGATGACGCGGTGTCTGGGGATACCCCGGGGATAACCTGGACACTCCAGACCAGTAGCATACGGACCAGTATCATTACCCCTACGTGATTGCAGGGACTTCGTTTGCCGACCGATGACATCCTAATTGTAAGTCACACATTTATCCTAATTATTCAGGCAGTTATAGCAGGCTGCACAACAATTGTCTATCCACTCATTTATTTCGTTATTGAGGTAGTTGCACTCTTCTACATACTGTGTTTGGATCAATATGACACACGGGGCTCCTCTCCCGGTTTTTTTAAGAGTTTATGCACACCAGCTCCCACACAGCCAACGAGTGAGAGATCTGATCATATCACAGCGGTGCGCTTCCATATTTTTGTTCCAGATAAAACAAATGGCAACAAAAGCCAACATACACCTACAGCAACTGGAAGGACTAGGTAGTTGTGTGCTGGTCTTAATGGGAGCATAACTACAGTTCAGTACATAGCTAAAGTACTAAATACTACCAAAATCCCTTTGAAATTGGCCTCCTTTCCAGCACCTGTAGCTGTGAGGGGAGTATAGTGGTCCTGATGTGAATTAAGTTATCAAGTTTATCTCCTAGTAGCAGTCATTAGTAGGTCTGTCAACTCGTGGCTAGACACGAAATCATGTTATGAGGCCTGTACTGAATTGTTAACACAATATCACAATATAAAAAGGACATGCACAAGGATTATAGCATAAGTAAGCAAATTTATATTAACTGGCAGCAAAACTGCACAAACATGCAATGCAGTTGGACAAAGATACTATATAACTGCCGCAAACCTCTACAGTAACATTGTTCGCACCATCTACATAGGAAGTCATGCAAGAGCTTTTTACACTGTGTTAAAGGATATGTGCCACGAAAAGGACATAAGTACAACATACCATGTAAAGAGCTTAGTGTTGAAACATTAACTGGCAGCAACACTGAAAAACAAGTGCTGCAGTGTAAGCACTAGGTAATACATGTTCTAAACCTCCCTCCTCAGCAACAATGACTATCACATTATCTACATAGGAAGTTGTGTCATAGATTAAAGTTGTGGTATTGGATAAAACACACCACAAATATTGCATAGGCACAACACATATCATTTACAGGGTTAAGAGTTGTAACATTTATACAGACACACTGAATAACATAAATGCCATGAAGGAGACCCCTGCTGACAAACACTATGCAGTAACTGCCCACAAAGCACAGCAATATTACAAAATAATCTTGCATCCTGAGCTGTAAATAGTTTATCCTGTAGAAAAACATCCAGCTACACAAGCATGCAATGGATGAGGCCTAGGAGTTAGTATACCGCTACACAACAATATTTTCCACAAAGCCCACACTGCTGAATTAGCACACCTAAATGCCATGCATTAGAAACTCCACTGTATACATTTGCATTAAAAGGAATACTAAATAATGAGGCCCAATTTTAAAAGAGCTAGGTGAACAGAGTAACACTGAGCCTACATGTCACAGGCACTGGAAGAGCACCCAGAATTGCCATGTTATTGGTACAAAATGCCAACTGTGTGCTCATGTGGCAAAGTTCCAAGTGATGGGTTTCCTCTGGATGGAGGAAACACAATAACTGACCAGTTATGCAGAAAGACTTCTTTTTAAGTGTTTTTGGTGATGTGTTCCCTGTTCCCATTGGAGGATGTGCCTAGAAGATGACCTGGGAAAAACGTTTGGCTTTACATATACAGGCATTCCTCACTTAACGACCGAGTTCCGTTCCTACGACCAGGTCGTTAAACGAATTGGTCGTTAAGTGAGGAACTCTATACAGTACTGTACTGCATTAGTACAGTACTGTATAGCGTTGCAGATGTACAGTACCGAACAGTGTACTGTACATCGGCAATGAAAATACTTACCGGGACCCGCAGTGAAGATCGGAGGATGTCACTTCCGCCGGCGACACGTCGCACTGACGCTGACACGCGAGGTCGGAGGTCGCTCGGCGGTCCGTCGTAAGTGCGAGTGGTCGCAAAGCAGGTAAGTCGTTAACCAAGGAATGTCTGTACTTTAAAGAGTTAGTTCACCGTTATCAAAAATTTCAAGTGCATTTCAGTGTCCCCAGTATATAAAAAACATTGTACAGGTTTTTTTTTTAAAGTAGCTTCTTTTTAATGGCATACTGTAGGTTGCATGTGGTCTCTCCCAACATATCAGAAAAGCTCCCAGGTAGGCAAACTCCTCCCTGGTGTCACTACCACAGGAACGAGAAAGCTTGCTTCGCATGCATAGTATGCTCCCTTTCTCTCTCTCCGTGTCACAGCAGCAGCTGTGCTCGGAGTTGTTCAACAGAGAGAGAAAGTGAAAACATTGCACATGGAACGGGTTTTGAACAAGCCAGGGCACTCATTCCTGTGGTGCCTGGGGTGTGCTTCCAATGTCCACCAAGGCCTGACATCTAGATAGGACAGGGGGGAAATCGATTACCTAGGAATTTTCTGACAGTTATAGGAGAGAACGGACATGGTCTACAGGTATGCCATTAAAATGAAACTTCTTTTTAAAATATACTGGGGGTGCTGAAATGCATGACATTTTTGGGGACTTAAGTTGTACTGTGGCCATAAAGGGGTAAAAATTCACAAGTCAGCAGTTCAACCAGAAGAACGCAAACATTTTTTCGCACTACAAGAAGCTTTGTACTCCTTTCTTCTGATTCAGGCAGCACTTAAAGGAGAACTATAGGGTGAGTGAATTACACTTATCCCCATAGTTAGAGCCGACACGTGACATTGAAATTGTCGCACCTCGGCTCTATTGATCGGGAAGTGAGCGAACACATACGCAGCTCGCTCACTTCCCGCTTATCTCCTTGCAGAGAGTAGTAACTGTCAGTCAGCGCTCCCCACAGGGATCCCCCCACCCCTCCAATTCTCCAGTGCTGACTGGAGGGACGGACAGGGGAGGGGGCAGGCATAGCTGGCTCTGCCTCTAGATAGGCAAAGCCAGCTGTCCTCAGCCAGCGTGGTGGAACTCGACAGTATTGTCAGAATCCGTCCCAGCTGCGGAACTCTCAGCGTATAGTGGGCAATAGCTGAGTTTTGGGTCACGGGAGGACGTTAGTATATGTCCTCTCGTGACTCTAAAGAGAACTATGGTAAAACAAAAGTTACCCCAAAATTTTCTTTTAACTGCTGTCTCTGGCCCTATGAATTGTGCCCATTCTTCTAACTATGGATGTACATTGCAGGAAGCAGGGATCTGTATATTCTGCATTATTTCTCCAGCATCCAAAGAAGTGAAAGACAGCCGAAAGACCATAGGGAGAGGTCATAAAATATTGTCATTACCAAAAAAACAAAACAAAAACATGCATAAGGTCAGCAGTAAAGCTGGCCATACACTGTTCCATTTTTTTGGTTCAACCTGCGAGCTGAATGGAAAAAATAGAACATATCCTTCATCAACGTTTTTACAAGCGCTGATCGTAGAATCCCGCTGTTTCCTTTGTATTCTGACAAGGGCTACTGTCAGAATACCCGAAACAGAGCTGGCAGCTCATTGGCTGCTAACTCTGTTCATTCGAAGATTTTCCGACCGGCTCCTTCAAAAAGGTGCCAAGAGGGGCACCCACTGTTTGAATTGCGGCCGGTTCTTCAGGATCAAATAGTGTATGGCCAACTTAACTAACATACACTAAAGATAGTGCAAGCAGCAATTTCTGTGAATGGCCTTACTGTTCAATGAAAGATAAACCAAAAAGATGACATTTGCTGGTATGAGCAGGTAGTCACACAAAATTCACATGAACACACCTTTAGAGCTGGAATTCACAATCTTCAGGGCTATGTCATAGGAATTTATTGCAAATACATAATCTGCTTGCTGATAGTAGTAGTTTCCACGTTCCCTCTTCTTGTTGGCCAAATCCAGCTTCTGCTGTCCAGTAAGTAGTTCCAGGTCTGGCTCATCCTTCACTTCAAGAAGGGACACCTCAAGAAGAAGATCTGCATTGGGTGGAATATCTGGATCCCTTAAACAGAATTCAAATGAAATAATTAATTATGTATTAAGTAAAAATAGTAAATCTCAAAAGGTGGTGATGCAGAGATATAAAATCTTAAAGTGACACTTAGCTCAGGATTTAAAAATGTATTCAGTACCTTTAATAACAAACATGTACCTTAATTGTGTATCACTTGGCTGTAGATCCTCAAATCATCTCTGAATTGGTGCCAACACTGCCCTTCCTTCTGGAGAGTGGCTACTTTTGTTTCCTATGGTCCCTGTGTGTGTGTTGTAAAGTAGCCACCGCTCCAAGCTCACTCCTGTGATGGACTAAAATCTCACTTCTAGTTTGCTAATTTGTACCGATTGTAGTCCATCAGAGGAGTAATACACAAAGAAAATACATTTCTGTTAACCCCTTCATGACTGAGGCCCTTTTTTCAATTTTTGCACCCATGTTATATTCCACATTTTAGGCCTGAAAATGACGTAAAACCCCCCAACATTATATATTTTCTGAATGCCAAGACCCTATAAAAGTACTTGAATGCAATTTTAAGGTTTAACTCCTGATTTAGTGTCACTTTGAATACATATAATAAATGTGAGCTTGGTTTAATGCAATGAGTGTGACTCAGACCACACCAAACAAAAAAAATAGTAAGTTTCCCATAGCAACCAGATCCGTTATTTCATTTTCCATCCACCACCCACTAGCTCACTCACTGCCCAGGACATTGCCATTCCTTTCAAAAACAAAATAGATGCAATCCGAGATGAAATGCCCACTGTCCAGTCACCTTCCCCTATTCATGTACCAGACCCATCTTTGCACCTATTAGTTTCCTCTTTTGACCCTGTCTCCACAGAGGAGGTTGCACAACTTCTCTCTAACACCCATCTCACCACTTGCTCCCTGGACCATGCTCGCCTCCAGGACTTCACTAGAGTCTCCCCCATTCTGTGGAACTTTTTACCCCAACCTGTCCGTCTATCTCCTACTCTGACTACCTTTAGGCATTCCCTTAAGACTCATCTCTTCAGGGAAGCTTATCCGACCTCAACCTAACCACTGAAATATCAATTTCTCAAACAATCCATCCCCACACAGCTACCTCAATTGTAAAGCGCTGCGCAAACTGTTAGCGCTACATAAATCCTGTATAATAATAATAATAAAATTTTACACATGCTATATAAAAAAAGGAAAACCTTTCATGGCCACTACATCAGAGTTTTGGATATTTCCTACATCGCCAGTACTATATGCATCTTTTATTAACCAAGTTCCCATATGCAGTTTTTAAAAAAATAAATAATTTTTAAATATAAAACAAATATGTTTCAAAACTGCAAATGGCAACTTGGCCAATTCAAATATATATACAGGGCTTGAAAAATTTTATGGTGTCTCACCAGTCAGTCAAAAATTTCACCAGTCAGCATGACCGGACTATAGCCTTGCAATTTATGTTAAAAAATTTTGGGGACAGATAGAGCTTTGTTTTGTGACCCCCGGGGGGGTTATTTTTTTTTACTATATAATGAAAAAAGTACCATAAATGTAAAAAAAAAAAAAAAGTTTCCCTACGTTATGTTATAAAACATTTATTCTTACCCATATTTTTAGTAAAACATAAAATTCGGTGTCACGTCGAATAGACACCAAACATGTCAAGCCTTAAAATTGCGTGCGCCCGCAAAATCGCGAAAAACGCCCATAGGCGACGATTAAAACACTTTTACTGCTCATCAGTTTAGTGTTATCAGTGATTATTGCTCTCACTCCGACGTTTGCGGAGATATTTAACATGTGCGGCACAATAGGCGCAATCATCGTTTTCGCACGTAGGCGCACCCGTCTCATATCTGCGTGTGTATGTGGGGGGCAGGGACTTTAAAAAAAAAAAAATGTTACATTTTTTTATGCTTTATTTTTTTTAGGATTCTTTAATTTTAGTATTACTTTTTTTTTTTACACACACCTCTATTACATAGGGGGCTAAGAAGCCCCCTATGTAATAGCCCCCAATGTAATAGCCAATTTACATGACAGGTCCTCTTTATGGAGACATCAGGGGTCTCGACCCCTAATGTCACCTAGGGACCCCCAGAGAAGCTGATGAAGCAGAGATCGGCTTCATCAGCTTCTGTAGCTGGAGAGTGACAGTGAATGCAGGAAGTGATGTAATATACATCACTTCCTGCATTCGGGGACTGAGAGGAGATCAAAAGGGAGTTCGTACACTGAACTCCCTTTGATCTCCTGTCACAGAGCCGTGCCGGTCCCGGCCGCATCGGGCACAGCGAATCTCGGGACCGGCAACGGCAGTGACAGCTGCTAATATAAGCGATCGAGCGTCTCTAGAGACGCCCGATCACTTGAATGTAAAAGCTCCCGGCCAGCCGTGTAATTACAACGGCCGGCCGGGAAGCTGCTCGTCACAGACGAGCGGACGAGTGGATTTTTCAAGCCCTGTATACATGTAATGTTAATGATTTAAACACATAAAGGAAACATAAAAACTGTGATGTAGTACAGGTGGTTCCTCTTTTTATATACAGTTTATAATACTTTGGTTAGCACTCACAGCTATTAAAATATAGCTCTGAAGATTCATTTAAGTTAACGCATGAATAATATATGTTGAAAAGTTTTAGTTTAGCTTAAATATAAACTATTGCATATAAATATTTTGCATTCTCTTTTTAAACCAGCAGGGTGAGCTTTGGGATCCTTTTTATTTGATTTTTATAGTTTAGACCCTTGCTTCTTCTTGTAAGCCCTTTTACACAGGTCAGCCTGAAATTGACTTACAGTAAACCGGTGATTCCTTCTTTACTAAATGGCTTTGTCTTATAATGAATTTCAGACTGCCTGTCATAATTACTGCTGTGCAGTGGTGTAACAACCAGGGGGGCAGTCGGTACATCTGCCCCAGACGCAGAGCTGGGGGGCGGCCGCCGGGCAATGACAAGCGGGCGAATGATTTAGGGCAATAATGGGCTGCCCCGACAGGCAATAACGGGGCTGCCCTTGGGGGCCTCAGGCGTGAGGACCCAGCGTGCAGCAGCTTCACATTGCAGAGAGAGACCGAGACCAGCACTTCTGTGACAACATGAGTGATTTAATGGGGTTTTTTCCCCCTCAATCTCCCCCGTGCTGCTTCCTCCGGCCGTGTAAACCGACACCAGCCAGGAGGACAGTGTCAGATGGCTGAGGAGACTACTCGCCATTCCAGAACACAGAATAGATAGCTGAACTTGAAACGTTCAACTATTCTGTGTTCTATTACAAAAACACCATTTAGTTAATCTGGGTTCAGCAGGTATGAACTGAAGAGGACCGGGACCAAGCGGCTTTAGGGCTCAGTCACACCAGATGCAGCGCGCTCTGGCCTGATTCTGGCCAGAACGCACTGCCTCGCATTGCGGCCGGCTCACTTTTTTGTGGGGCAGGAGGGGGCGTGGTGGGCCTTTGAAGTGAATGGCATGGTAGCCACACCCTCTGGCTGCAATGCGATCGGCCGAACGGGATCGCAAGGCACATTATGCCTGTGGTCCGGTCCAGTGCAATCAAAATGCTGCAAGTACTATTTTAATCGCACCGGACTGCAGGCATAATGTGCCTTGCGATCCCGTGCGGCCGGTTGTTGGGGGCATGGCTGCAGGGCCATTTAGTTCAATGCACCGCCACGGCCCCTCCCGCCCCAAAACAAAGTGAGCCGGCCGGGTTGCGTTCCAGAGGCCAAACGCACTGAAACGCAGTCTTGATGGTGTGACTGGGCCCTTCGGAAGGACAGCAGAAAGTCCACGGACACCAATCTCTGTCTTATTTAACCGAAAATGTCATTCGTAAAGACAAATGGAAATTCCTGACTTAGTTGTACTGATCTCCTTCGTCCAGGTAGAGTATGGTACAGGTGAAAGTCGAATAATTAGAATATCGTGCAAAAGTTCATTTATTACTTTCACCTGTATATCAAAAAGTCTTCAGCGATATCCACCAGTCTCCTCAGAATGTCATTACTCGCACTCTGAGGAGACCACCACTGGTGGATATCGCTGAGGACTTTTGGATGTACTATACTCTACCTAGAGGAAGGGGATCAGTACAACCAAGTCTGGAATTTCCATTTGTCTAAGGAATTACATTTTAGGTTAAAAAAGACAGAGATTGGTGTTAGTGGACTTTCTGCTGTCCTCATTAACCCTCTAAACCCTCCATGACCTCAACAGTCAGTGATAGATCCAGTAACAGTGATTTTCCATTATTTAGCAAGTCTGTATGAGTGGGAGTGTGAATGGTTGTAGACAACGTTGTCAAAGGTTTTTAATGGAAAGATGCAATCTGATGATTCACGTTTTTGATGTTTGATTTTTTTTTCAAATAAACTTTTTCAGATTAAAATCACTGAGCTGTTTGGTCCCGGTCATTAAAAAACCTCTTCAGTTGGTACCTGCTGCGGGTATGAACTAAATGGTGTTTTTGTAGTTTATTAGGGTTCAGGACAGTGTGATCAGACGCCTTATAATAAGGGGTTACTAAACAGTGATTGTGTCTCTGGAAGATTTATAATTTGTTTGTGTATGTTCTATAATACCCCATTACACTCACATCTGCCCCTGCTGCCATCCTGTACATCTGCCTGTGGCTGCAGTGCTTCCTTCACTTCTCCTCGGATCCCCCGCTGCCTCTGCCCGGGAGAACAGCGAGGATCCAGAGGAGAAGGTGCGTGGCTGAGCAGCAGAGGATCGGTACATATCAGTGATATGTACCAATCCTCTGTGCAGGACAAACACTGGAGCAATCAGCCGATCACTCCGGTGTTTGTAAATAACTGGGGACACATAGTACTATGAGTCCCCAGTTAATTTTCTTGCCTCGGGCGCAAAAGGAGCTAGCTACAGCTGTGCTCCGGCAGTGCTAGTGGGGCTGGCGGCTGAATGTGCTAGAAGCCTCAGACGGAAAGGGGCGGGACACCTCTTCTCGTGTGCAACGTCGGCCACATGAGCACCGCGGGAGGACAGGGCGCCGGCGCCTCTAGAACGCACTGGAATGCAAGCCGGCTGACTCCCTGCGTTCAGGGGCGGGAGGAGGCATGGGGTTGTATTGCAGTCAATGGCAGCCATGCCCCCCACCCACAGTGCAATCGCCTGTACCCGGAACGCAAGCACATTAGTGCCTGCATTCTGGTCCAGTGCAAACTGCAAAAATTTGCCTGCGTTCCAGGTGCTGGCGATCGCACTGCGGGTGCTCCCCTCCCGGCCCTGAATGCAGGTGTTTTTTCCTTGGTAGATCTCATTGAGCTTGTCATTTAAAAAGTAGATCTCCAGACGAACAATTGTGGGCGCCCCTGCTTTAGATTAAACACTAGCTGACTTTCTATCCAAGCAGGCAACATTTTCAGGAGTCAAAAAAATGGAATTCCACATATTTCTCTCATTAAAGACTCTCATGAAAGGACTATCATTTAAAATAATGTTTATTTATCAT